AACAGGCTTTGCTTGCTAGGATCATCTGTTCAGGACAAAATTAGCATCACTCTGATGCAAGATTAAGGAGAAATATCGCAAAATCCAGAAGTTTGATATTTATGAGAGGTAGTGGAACTTGGAGATGACCTGAATAGTAACGTATGCTGAGACCAACCATTCGAAGAATTGTGGCTAAATGATCGGTTTGGAAAACATAACACCAAAAAGGAATAATCTATATCGACAGCCACTAAAAAAATTTCAAGCCATCTTCCTTCAGTCTCTTTTTCTTTATCTTTTTTCTCGCCGTCATTGTATCGGAGGATGAAATCAAATACATTGTGAATTGAAGCCAGTGTTATTTTTTCTGACAATTCTCTTTATGTTATGATAATATTAAATTGAACATTTTGAAGGCCAGTTTGCGGTATTCTTCGTCTACCTCAACAGCAGCTGCAGCAACAACTGTTCCTTCAAACGTGGGACGATCGGAGTCCTGGCGTACTGAACGACCGCCTGCAACAGTGGCACCAGCCAGACCTTACAGTCCCCCAGTAATGCCGGTCCCGGCAAACCAGCTCCCGGTGCCCAGTAAAATTCTACCAGATGACGGTAATCGTCGATGCGAACTGTCAGAAGAAGACGAATCGGGAAGGCCTCTTAGTAAAACCCAAAAACGTCGAATTCGCCGAGAACGAGCGAAGATTGCGACCGAAATAAAATCTCGGCAAAATCCGGAGCCGAAAGAATCAAAGAAAATTGCCACTGGATCAGCAGAAACAGAACGTTCCAAATTGCCAAATTTGTTCGATGCAGTACCGGTTTGGGAATCTCGTCCTGCAACAAAGGCTCTAAATGTGCCACGTCTAGCGGATACAGTACCAGCATTTGATCCTGAACCGAAACGACGACAGATACCACGTTTGGCGGATGCACCATCAACTTGGGATGAATTAGGCCTCAAAGTAGCTGCTTTAATCAGTGCGCGAAAACAAGTCCCTGCTGAGACGCATCAAGCTAGCAGAGGTAGTAGCATCGGTGGGAGCAGCTTGTCCGATAACACTTCTCGAATTCTTCCAGTAAAATCCGGTAACGTCTCCACAGCAGCAGCACAGTACGGCGAACAGTCAACCGCTGCTTATCAGGTATCCAAACCTTTAGCTTATGACCCCAGTCGGCCATCTTACGGTTTGCCGAACGCTGCCAACCAGCAACAACTCACATCGTTTTCGTCAGATCTTGCGAGCAGCTTGCGCTCGGACGTATTTTGGTTTTAAAAATAGATGGTCTCA